AACCCGAATGAACCCTACAACATTGCCGTGCTGGGAAGTGGCCAGAGTGCTGCTGAGATCTTCCACGACTTGCAAAAGAGATACCCCAACTCGAAGACAACACTGATCATGAGAGATTCGGCTATGCGGCCTAGTGACGACTCTCCTTTGTGAGTATAATACTTTTCGCACTCCCATCATGTTGCGACTAACAGCAAATAATATAGTGTGAATGAGGTCTTCAACCCCGAACGTGTCGACAAGTTCTATAACCTCTCTGCCGAAGAGCGCCAGCGTTCCCTCAAAGCCGACAAGGCCACCAACTACAGTGTGGTCCGCCTTGAACTCATTGAGGAGATCTACCACGACATGTACGTCCAGCGGGTCAAGAACCCCGACGAGAAGCAATGGCAGCACCGCATCCTCCCCGGACGCAAGATCACGCGGGTCGAACACCATGGACCTCAGAGTCGGATGCGGATTCACGTGAGGGCGACCAAGGATGGATCGGACAGCCTTGTCGGCGACGGCAAGGAGACACTGGAGGTGGATGCACTCATGGTAGCGACCGGCTACTACCGCAACGCGCATGAACAGCTCTTGAGCAATGTGCAGCATCTGCGACCGGAGGGCCAGGAGGAATGGAAGCCGAGCCGGGACTACCGGGTCGAGATGGATCCCAGCAAGGTCAGCCCCTATGCTGGAATTTGGCTGCAGGGCTGTAACGAGAAGACACACGGACTGAGCGACAGTCTTCTGTCGGTGCTGGCAGCACGCGGTGGAGAGATGGTGGAGTCGATCTTTGGCGAGCAGCTTGCGGGTGCAACGGTGCCGGTCACGAAGTTGCGCGCTATGCTGTAAAGGCTTTTTTGTCGGATCGGAGACCCAGGAGGGGTTCCGCTTTCTAGACGCGTGAATGATGGCGCTAGGGCGGGCATTTCTTTCTTTGCAGCAAAAGAATGCCCCGGAAAATGAGCGTGCATATCCCCAAACAAATTGGTAGGGGGTGATATCTTCTTTTGCGATCATCTACTTGACTGTATCTGTGCTCAATTCTCTGTTTCATTACCTATACTTTGTTACTATTGTTACTACCCCATCATCTGATTCCCCAAGTACCCCATTGCGAGTTATATAGCCAGCCACATTGGAATTGTATAACGAATAGAGATCGGAATGCATCAAGTCTGTCCTTATTGATTAAATTTCACCGCTCATTGTGTTAAGGCAGAAGGCCATGCAAATTGCGCACGATGCTTTTTTATTTAGCCTACTACAGATGTTATTCATTCTCCTCAAACTTTATCCGCCCCCCCTGACATGCGCCTGTAACCGACAGGGGGACGAGAATGAGTGCCTAGGAGGGAAAAGAGAGTGGGCTGGTCGCACAACCGCCGGCCTAGCACGGACCCGCTGACGTCAAGCGACCGGACTAATTGGCCCTGACCAAATTAACCGCCGCCAGGAATACGCAACGAGGAGAAATTGGTGTTTCTGCACTTGAACAGACACAAGGGGAAACAAGTGAGGGAAATATTCCCAGGAGGAGGGTCCAAGGAAATGAACACAATTGTCAATTGGACTCCGAGCAAGAAGAAATTGAAGCGGGTGGACATCCCTGACTCGCTGGCGCTCAACCTTGGTTAAGGGTCGGGGAGGGATTCTGATAATCTGATCAGATAAAAATTTTCGCACGTTATCTGATGGCGCCATCCCCCAACCGCATCAGCGCCCATCGCCGAGCCAGGCGCGCTGCTTTTCCGCTGCGGTTCCCGCTCTCCACGCCCATTCGCTGCCAGGGGACCACTTGGGTGGATGAAGAGACCCACTCACTGATTGATTACGATGAGGCACCATGCAGATTGATCCGTGTGGTCTCGTTTTTTTTTCATATCCACCCACACGCACGCACACACTAACTTACCCTCTCGCTTCGGTATACGGGTTACTCAATTAGATTGCTTTCTGGCCCCCTTTCCCCGACCATAGCTGCCACCAGCCCTTCTTATGTCTCGGTTCCCGAGGGATTTTCTCGGACTTAAACCTATACCGGTAGCATTAAAAACGGACCTCTCCGAAACACATCCAACGAGAAACTCCCAGTCAGTTTTGATCGATCAGGTAACAGCTTGATCAGTGATTGATAAATTCTTAGCGGCCCCGCTTTTTCCCTTTCCTTCGTTCCCACAATACCAAGGCCCTAGGGACTTGGAGGTGAGGGAATAACGAAGACAGCAAGGAAAATAATGGAAAATAGAAAGAAGAGATAAAAAAAAAATAATAATCACTCTGCTGTCCGGACCGGCTAGATAAGGAGACAATTCCGGTGTAATGGTCAGACCATGAGGAACAATTGCTGCCGTAATATTAACCTAGCTAGTAAGTAGCTATACCAGTACGTACTTTCCTGTCTGTCTGGGGTGTAGCTAACCTCAACTGGCGGAGAAGAATTCGAATCTGGCAGTCAAGGCAATTACTTAGCCCCCCCCCCCCCCCCACCTCCTCTCCTACTCCAGGATTCGTTTTCAATCTCAACTACCCCCCTACGTATTTATACACCACGCTACTTCCTACTTTCTCAAACATCTGAAAGACGATCTGTCGATGAATCTCGTATTGTTGGATAATGCAACAATTGATTTGAACAACCTTTGCTGCTACTGGCGCAAAGGCAACGCGACTAGACGAGGCGAGACGAGACTAATCCCTAAGCAGTACACGCGGAACCATGCGACATGGAAACCGGAACGGGCGCCTGGAACAGTCGACTCCCTAGACATGCGCCGATCCCCATTCAGGTCTGGGCCAGTGGCATGTCCACAGTTGTTATTATTATTATAATAATGGTAATAATAAAAGTCGCCATTATTATTCACCTTTCCTCCGCCAATCGTAAAAAATTGTCAAGGTTGGTAGCCTCCTGTCCCTGACAACACAGTATTCGGCTGCAGCCTGCTCAGAAAATAGTAAGTAGGCAGCTGAAATTACTTACTTATCCTGTACAGGCAGGCAGACAGGCCTTTACCAGCTTACCAACTAGTCAGCACCAAATGTTCAGATTCAAGTAGTCTCGCCGTTTCCGTGAACTCCGGAGCCTCTTTTCCCTTTCTCACCCCACGCGTTATATCACGAGAAGGGGAGAGAAAAACATCCGTATCAGGTCTAGTATATTTGTCACTGAATCCCTACCTGAATTAATTAGATAGACATTACGAGTCTGGATGCATTTCTAGCTAGCTAGCTGGCTAGCTAGATATGAACTTCGGATGTACTTACTACCATGTAGCATGCTTGTGCTGTGTGACCCGATCAGACGGTCCACGCTTGTGGAAAGGCCGGCTATGCCAGGTACCGGCGACCGGTGTTCCATCTTCCAGGGTCCTGTTCTTCTTTTCCCCCTCCCCCCAATCTAGATACTACTAGTTGTGTCAGGAGGGCGAAGATCGAACGATCTGCAACCCAACAAAAAAGCACACGAGTTTATCTGGAATATCATCCGTGGGATGTCGAGAGATCAGCAAGGTCAGAAACAATAAATAGAAAAAGGGAAGAATGAAAAAAAAGTAAAAGACCCTGATCATCTGATGCATGGATCTATATTCTACATACTAAGAAGCAGAAAACTTGATCGTTAAGAAACAAACATCAAACCCATCCTCAACCACCTCACCACCTTGCCCTAATCAATCAGCCCAACACCTACCGTTCCATGGATCCATGGTTTCTTCAATTCATTATCAGATGGAGATAAAAAAAAACATACAGCCCACTTGCCTTGGACGAAGCGGTGGCCTGACCGCTTCAACCAGATAAATAATATATTGGATCCGTGATCCATGGATCATATCCCATATTAATTCGTAACTTGGTGCCACTAAATCTCTTTCTATTCTACTAATTAATAGAACCCAGCTTCAGGTCGTGACGAAGAGTGGTCCCGGGGACTATTTGTACCATATTGTACCCAATGAAATTGCAAAGTCCGGGATTGCAAGCGTGTGTGTGTGGAAGCTAGACAGACAGACCCACCGCATAGGCTTGCGGTTACTTACGAGGGAAGTTAGGTAGGTGGTTGTCTGCCTAGATGGAATTTCTGAACTTGGGCTAGATCTAGGTATCGATGTAGATAGATACATACCTGATTAATCTACTACCTACGGAAACAAAAAGAAAAGGTAGAAGGAAAACATACACCCCACGACTCAAAAAAACGGCTCTGGGAGCACAAAAGTCTGAAAGTCAAAAAGGGCACCTACCGTCCAAGTGCGTCCAGCAAAAATTACAACCAAATCAATCAATCAAACCGCTCCTGCCGAGATAAGATCTTAGCGTGACATTTTGACTTTGGGTCTAAGGTTTTAAAGCCACAACCAGACGAAAAAATAGGGTTCAGACCAATCATTCCCATTCCCCTTACTCCAAAGGGAAAAAAAGTTTCTCCAAGGTTTAAACACGGAAGAAAAAACGAAGAATACATACATAACATGCATACATGCATGCATACTCTGTAATTTTTATTATTGCGACATCGGCTTCTTCGGCTTCAGAAGCTTGGTTCAGTATGGGGCGCGGGTGTGGAGATTATCTTCGTATGTATGAATCTTGTATAGACGCTGTATGTACGTTACTTACTTACGGTCAATTATCCTCATCGTGATCTCCACTGACTATTATTACAGTCTTTCTCCCTTTCTCTCTCTCTCTCTCTCTCTCTCTCTCTCTCTGTATTTTTATTCACCCCTTCAGTTCTTGAACTCAGTGCATTGCGCTACGATGGGCTACAAGTTCCTTGGCTTTCCTTATACCATTCCCTGTCATCTCGAAAAGCACCCTCTAGCTTCATAGCAAGGTGATGATTACACCCACTTCTTTTTCTCCGGTTGGATAGATTAGCCTGCAATGTATGCTATTCAGTAATCTGCCAGGTTATATTTGGTCTAAAGTAAAAATATCTACTAATATATCATGATCTTTATATGCAGAAGATAATACATGAAGATAACGTGAGGGCATGAAGGGTCAAAACCCCATCCATGACCATCTATTCCAGTCAAACATATCATCAGAAGGAAGGGCTCATCCGGTACTCATTAGATCGCATATAGAAGATCGAAACATCTCCTCGGAAGTTATTGGTCGTCTGAAGGGCATATTGAGAACCCTAAATGGTCAGTCAATCGAAGACACAAGAACGCATCTATGCATTCCGTTCTGGATCCTCGTCTGCCAGGCTCCGATATCTTCCGCCGCTGTGCATACGTGACGGCATCTCGTACATCTGGTTGTAGTTGATTGCTTCACCACCGAGCATGCCAGATCCCGCCTCCCGCTGTCCAAAGCATGGAGCCGGATCGCACCAGAAGTCCCGGCAGTTGGTGACTACACCTCGAGAGAAGGGGTTCTTCGCCCGAGAAGCACGTGGACCATCTCGCAACCCATCCCTTGCTGTCGCAAAGAAGGCATCAATGCCGAGAAGGGAAGTCCACTGCTTCAGACAACCGCCCCTCCGGTGCCGGTGGCCATGGGCAAGAGCTGGATTCGGTCCCTGGCCAGCAGAGGAAAGGCCAGCAGCATCGAGTGAGGTAGTTCCTGCAGCCAAAGCCGAAGCAAAAGCACGAGAGCTTGGGTAGCTTCTGTCAATCGAATGGCCCCTCATGTTTTCGTATGTCGTCTGATTCCGCGAAATTTGGACAAGCTGAACAGCACAGAGCATAGTGACCCAGACCAGCTGAATGATGACCCACACATCAAGGACGAGGGTGAATGTATCACGAAGTACAAAATCACATAGCGCATCGTTAATGACATTACAGGTAGGGTTGACGGGTGCTGGCAAGACATTGATGTCTGTACTAGCCGTTAGTCTTTGATCCGGAGAAGAAGAAGAGGAGTTGATACTTACAGGAGTATGTCAGCTGCACGAAAAGAATTATACCCGCTTCAAGACACGTGATGTATAATACAAAATGGCGCAGATTGTTGGCGCCCACGCAGTTATCAATCCACGGGCAGTGACTATTCAGGATGTCAATGTTTGAGCTTTTAACTCCAGTCTCAATTAGGGTCTTACTGGTCATGTTTTGCAACGCAGCGCCCGCAGCGCTTGCAATGCTTGCTCCGTAAAGGCTTTCGAATCATGCACGCAACGCAGAAGTTCTCTTCGTCGAATTTCCACTGCTCAAAAAGTTCCGCAATAACTGTTCGCTGCTGGTTTCTGCTGCCAAGTTTGGGGACAAACCCAGGATCTTCAATCATCGCGGTGAAATAGAAATATGTTGTCGCTGAGAAGAACAGAGCAAAACAGATATTCGATATGGGATTTGTGGTATATGTGGCTGGCAAACGTGACTATTAGTAAACTCTTGGCTGGGGCTTCGCATAATTCCGTTGGAAATCGGATTCAAAACATGTATACGAAGAGCAGGGAAAGCCTCACCTGGCAGCACGTAGAAAATGTATCTCACACCAACCCAGAACAAAGAGCCTGCAAAAACGCCCGATAGGTAAGGCTGGGTTGCGGATCAGTGACGAACAGAGTGAGGAGATGCAAGGGGTAATCGCTGACGTACCGTCTTTTGCAGAATCCTATACTCTGAAATGCTTTGACTGGCCACTTTCTGGGCCAACCATTGAAGTCCATAAGCTGTTGCGATCATAATAGGGATAGCAGCGAAGACAACCAAGTTACTGAGAACCCAGACGGCTACGAAAATCATCAAGAAAGGCCACAAGAAGAAGAACTTGGACATGGTGCTCTTGTTCCGCACCCAAGGCGTCAATCCGAAGGGAAGAACCTTCGTGTTCCCATCGAAGTCATAGCCACACTCGTCCAGAGCACGATACCACACACGCGTGGTATTCATCTCGCCCGCTACCGTCGCTGGGGTCTTACCATCCCTGGTCTTCGCGAATCTATCAGCGCCATATTCAATGAGCTTCTGAACGCAAGGCAACGATCCCTTAACCAGAGCCCAGTGTAAGGGAGTTAAGCCGCTGTCGTCAACGGCATTGGCATTAGCGCCCCAGCGCAGGAAGAGGTCCACGCAGGCGGGGAATCCCTTATATGCCGCCCACATCAGCCCTGTATGACCTTGTTGATCGGGAACGTCCACCGGGATCTCCTGGTGAAGTAAAAGCACAAGCAGAAAGGCATTTCCGTCGATAGTAGCTAGGTGTAGGATGTTGTAGCCTTGGACGTCGGTAAGAAGAGGGTCCGCGCCGTGCTGAAGCAAAAGATGCACAATATAATAGTGGCAACGTTGAGCTGCCCACATCGCGGGTGTAGCGACAGATTCGCCTCCCTTCGCATTGACGTCGGCGCCAGAGTCGAGTAGGAACTTGCACATGGCATATTGGTTGTTGATGGCGGCCCACTAGAAGAGGAATGGAGCATTGTTAGTTCGGAATCAATTCAAAAGACAAGTGCGAAAGACATATCGGTAACACGCACATGTAACGGGGTGATTCCTTCTTCGTCCTTATAGTTGGGGTGGGACTTCTTCTCATCAAACATTTTCTGCATTACTGCGATCTCTCCTATACGAGCAATCTGCATGACATCTTCACCAATGGGGATCGAGCCCTTGACACCACCGCGTTCCGGTTTCATGTCTTTTAGTTCAACGGTTGCATCATGCTGGGTCACTTTCGGGGGAGTGGTGGTGCCTTTGCCGCTGGGGAGGGAGTGCGGACTTTGTCCCAAACCACCAGAGCTGCTGCTGCTCGGAGTCCCGGAAGACATTTCAAAATGATAACCGCGATTATATCAAGATTGACTCCAGCACGCGCGCAACTGTTCCTGGACTAGACAGAGAGGAAGGGGAGATAGAGAATTGCCGCCGCAAAAAAGGGACGACGTCGTTGAAGCGTTCGGCGGTCACGAGTCAGTTGAGTAGTCTTGCGGAGCCCAACTTAACGGAGCATTGCGGAGTGAACAGGAATTTCTTGAAGCCGGTACTATCGTATCCAGAAAGGCAACGGTGGCCTTCGAGGCTGTGATGAAGAAAGAGAAGACCGAAAATTAGATGGGGGCGGAAGAAAAGCTGAGGGTATCAGCAATAAACCATGGCGCAGCAGGCAAGCCCCGGGGATGAGCCTCTCCCTTCCCGAAAGGCTGACGGATCGTCCCTCCACTCCGCCTTTCGCGACGTGGTCTACATTTACCCACAACTTCCCTGCGTTATTACTAATGCGAATACGGACTCCCCAACAAGAACAAGAATTCGAGTTGGCTACATGGCACTCCGCAATCTTCTTACTATCATCCTGTTCGAAAGCCCGGTCCTTAGAGATACAGGTGCATCTTGAAGGTAGAGGGCCTAACGTACCCTGAGAACAGAACTTTCGTCCGTCAGTCAGTATAATAATGAATTGCGCCCGACAGGCATTACTCAGCCCAGTTGTCTAGTTCACTAGTACAAAACACCAGTCGCTAACTGATGGGGCGGTTAGGCAGCCGCATTGTAATACGTGCACACAGGTTGTTTCTCCAAAATCGGAAGCAAGAAAAGTTCTTCAATTGGGCGTTCTCATGGTAGATACGCAGTAGAGTATCCCAGAAAAGATGATGCTCAAGTTGAAAGGCCACAGTCCAACCATGCGCCCCACAATTCACCCCGGACCAATTTGCGGAGGACCTTTCCAGAGTCAATCAAGAACTACAAGGCCATCGCCATCCCCAAGGCGCTTGCAGGCCTCTCCAAAGTACATTCGCCTAGTGGGAGATCAAAGTGTCTATGTTCGCTCCACGGACGTATCAAGGCTAATTTCAACGGAGGGGATCCCCGCAACAGCCTATTTCTCGGAGTAATCTTATTTGGTCGACGAGCATATCTGCATCGACTCGTAGTTCGAAATCCGCAAGGAAACAGAAACTGATTTCGAGCCTCGATAGTTCGCGCTCAGTCACACCTCCAACCTTAGCAATGCGGCTATGGGGATAGCTGAGGTCTTCCAAGGACTTCATCGCCACGCGAAGTCCAGCAAGCACCAGACGATGCATATTCTTCCGGCTGACGACTATCACCCGTTCAATAGTCGCCATTCTCATGATGTACATGCTTGTAGCCAGATAAACACCTGTAGACATAGGGCAGAACTTGTGCATACGCAGCAAATACTCCTGCAGCGTGATCGGTGGCTGGCGTTTCGAAGAGAAGCGTTTTGACAGCACACTCTGCTGTTTTAGATGACGACCTGCTTCATCGTAGCTTTCTGTGGAGCGACATAACCCAGTGACCCTGATCGGCGTAGATTCCCCGCTAGATATACTGTCGCTGTGGACCAGGGGCCCGGGGACAGGAACGGCAGCTCCTCGGGAATAACCCACTTCTTCTGCTGACGATTCCACAAGCATTTCAATACCTGTGCACAGCAGACCCAGTGCTGCCGTAGGCGAGATCTGGAAGACATCATTTGGGTAGTTGGACCCCAATGTTGATTCATCTTCTTCTGAAGAGCGGATTGTATTAGTTGCCTCCGTAAGGCTCGCAACAGTCGACGGGCTCTCCTTGTTCATCGCGAGACCTTGTACGTTGTCGGAAAACCAAGGGTAATAATGCCACAGATGGCCCTGGACCTACAGGCGGATATTGACTTCCCCGATAGGTATCGCATGGTCGGGACACTGCCCAGCATGTAAATGATGCTGAAATACCTGCACCAGATTCGAGGCGAATCGGCTGCGTAGTCTGAGATAAAAGCCTGTAGCTAGAATTAAACACGGCGGTGCTTAATTTTTCTACTAGGGAGGAAACATCTGTGCGATCTGTCAGTGGGCGGCTATCAGTAAACATTCCTTGGGTTGCTCACTTTACCTATGTGACTGGGGTCGAGATCGGCTCACTAGCTGGTCAGTAGCAGCAGCAGACGACTTTGAAAAAGCACCAAGAAAGGCCTGCTTGCTGAATCACTATACATAAACGGGGGAAAGGGATTGATTTCCAGGTGTACAGATTAACAGGGTGGAATGTGAAAGGCGAGGAATGGAGTTGGCCGGATATTAGTGCGCCCGATCTCAACCCAACCGTTTCTTTCGTTACCCTATCAAAACAGGCAATCGATTCTGCTTCCATGCAGAGTGTGAGATACTAGCTTCATTAAAACAAAGGAGCTCTGAATTTGCGAACCAAGCGGCGCAAATACCCAAGTACATGCGTCGCTTACGATATTCATGAGCGGTTTGCCTCCTATCAAGCAACTATGACATTAAGGATATTTTCTAGTACCTACCACACTCCCGCAGTACAAATACAGTGGCGCAATTATCTATAGTGCCTCCAGTAGACATGGCAAATCAAGAGCAGGCGCGCACAGCGTATCTTCATGTTCAGAATATGTACTTCAGGCCACTCAGGACTCAGTCGTCCACGGCCTTCGAACTCCACATCTCCACAAATTTCTCCTGCCCTCTATCTCTTCTATGAACCACGCTCATGTCGAGTCCCTCAAGCCCCTTCTGAACACTCTTCAAATCGTCTTCGAGATTAGAGAGCTTCCTCTGGTGGTCCATATTCGCAAGTGAGGTCTCGAATTCAGAATCGGCGTGCAAGGAAGTGGAGAGAAGCTGGATCGCCCGGTCTGTCGGGAGTAACTCAGCCATGAGCGGCGAGTCTGCGGCAATACCATGGTCATTTAGGCTCTCAGTCAACTGATATCGCTTCTCCTTTAGATTATCTGCGTATTCACTGGCTTCGTCTGCATGGAGCACTGAATCCAAAGATAATCCTACTCGGCGTAACACTTTCGCTAGTGATTGAGATTCATGGAGCCGATTGTCTTTTTGTGCTGAAGTAAAACCCGAAACGGGCTGTACAGAGGAACGCCTCAAAGACTCTCTCCTGTTAACAGGCGGGCCCAAGAAGATATCGCCAATCTCTGATCGGTGCGCAGCAGCGATAGCTTCCAGAGTCCCACAGTAAGACTCCCTGTCCTGCAGACACTTGACAAGGCCATTTGTAGACGATGTCATCTCCGATACTACGTCCAAAACCTGGACGGTGTCAGTGCGGCATATTGATGGGAAGGGGGGGAAACCCGTCTCTTACATAGTCCAGCGTTTCATGTGAGGCATTCTGCAGCTCCTCGTGGTGACTGCTTAACTCGCCTATTATAGGTTCGGCGAACTGTTGTCTCGTGGACATCTCAGCTAGTATTTCGATTTCGGGGTAGAGGGATTCAAGTTCTTCCTCCAGCGCAGCCAACGGCTCATTTTCAGCGGGTGCTGGCTCAGTTCGCGCTATCGTTGGTCCTGCCTGTATCGATTCCAGATATAACCGATCCAGTCGACACCTGATCTCATCGGCAAGGCATTGAGCAAGGGCAGTACATCTCTCCAAAGCTATCTTTGCACTGTTCTCATCTTGTTGACTCGTTTCTATCCCGGATGCCAGCCTCTCCAGGTTCGCGATCAACCTATCATCTTCCTTAAATCGAGCTGTCAGAGACGAGAGTATCCTCTTGGCGTCTGCTGAAGCTTGCTCAGATACGCCTCTCAACTCTGATTCCAATGCGTGAGCCAAGTCACTGGACTGTGTAATATACTCAGCAAAGCTCTGTGACTGAATCAAGAAAAGGAACCACTACCGCGGCAGCTATATTTTGTCTTTCTGACGTATGCTTCTGGCGCAATCGTGCATTGTCCCGATTTTGTCTGAGCCCCAGTTCGTCATCCGAGGTGATAGATCCGTTTAAGCTCTCGTACTGCGATGCTAGTGTTTTGGTCTGTCTTTGTATTGCAGCCGTGGAGGCGTTTAGTGTTTCAATCGCGCGTCGAAGGTCATCATCCACAAGCGGGCGAGTTGCTTTGAGATTAGGATTGGTGAGAAGGCTCTGCAAGGCACCGGACTCTTCAAGCTTCGAGTACCTAATAGTAACCAAAGCAATCAGTGACTGGGAAAGGTCCGTTGTGAAGCGGGATTGGAAATACAGTATGAGCTCCTCTTGCGACAACAGTGTGTCGGTACTGAGATGCTCCGTCAGCCATTTTGCAAGCTCAGTACCTTCTATCCTCTCAACGAGGGCGGACTTGATTTGATCGCGATTAATCGAGAGTTCGCGATCTTTGAGAGCGGAGATAATGGTCGATGATGGGTCCATTGAATGATTGCTGCGGTTGGGTCGTGATGATGAATTGTCGGCGCTCCGCGCGGAATCTTCTGCTGCCGCCTCAGGACAACCTCAACAAATAATCCACTTCAGCCTCCCTCCCACTTTGGGGAATTGAACTCCATCACACTACGCAACAGCGCTAAATTATGATATTTTTATCAAACAAAAATGATCAAAGACAGACTGCCAGGTCTACTGAAGGCTCTGTTCATTCACCAATATCTACCTTGTGAGTGAAGCGGAGTTAATAGAATACCCACTACTATCTATACATTACGATATCGGAACGGTTGATACACCAGTACCCACCCGAGCGGAGTCAGTCCAATTCGTCTCTCACGCCTCAGACTCACCCTCCGCTACAATCTGAGGGTAGTACCATGTAGTGACGGCGATAATAACATAGACCAGAACGCAGAGCCCTCCTTCCAGATAGTTGGACTTTCCATCTCGAAGAAAGTTTCCAACAACTAGGATGGACAAAACGACCAAAACAATCATAAAGATCTCGAAATTCAGACCCATATCCTTGTCAATACCCCAGCCGACAATGACTGCGAGCGGCGCGTTCAACAGCGCAGTCTGGATCGAGGGACCCAGGCAATGAAAGAGTGCAAAATTGATCTGATTGTCCCTGTTTCAGGTCAGCAAGGAAGATTGGGCAGTCACCAACGGTTGTAATTACCAAGCTTCATCAATAGCAGTCAAGTGCTCTGCTGCCTTCTCAACAAGTGGCACAAGAATAAGGCCCATAAAATTGTCAGATACACCTCTCTCATTCACAATATCCTCTATTTCTTCCACCAGGAAGACGGCCGACATGCAGACGCATGCGAGAGATATTGCAATAGCCACAAAGCACTCAATCAACGTAAGCTTTGCGCGCTTCATTTCCTGTTCACGATCTTCATCCAGATGCTCATCGAATTCAAGGACTTCGTCGAATATGCTATGATGGCTGTGGAGGTTGTAGAACAGATACCTAGGCCATATGAGTAAATAGGAGTTATCGGCGTATTTTGGGAGACGACAACTTACATGATGAAAGCCACTAGGAGTATGACGGCTGTGGCTCTACTGATAATCAGTGTAGACTGATTCAGTGTTTGTGTCGAGATTTGTACATGTGTATGCGATGCATTGCTTTTTAAAGTCGCATAGAAAGCACTCGGGATCAGAAGGCCGAACCCTGCCACTAGAAGAAGTCCTGAGCCCACTTCGCTGACGGCCTCATGGAATGATTGATCTTCTCGCCCAATGCCTCCAAAGAAAAAGCATAGGCCTAAGCAGAGAAGGAGGTTTGCCAGGATCGAGCCTAGAATGGCGGCTTGGATGACAGGGATCAGATTGCCTCCCTTGTCCTTGTGGATCAAGACCATGAAAAGGACTATTTCCACGACAGAACTGAGAAACGTCTCCAGCAGGACGCCAAATACTTTGGGCAGCTTTTTGGCTAGCTCGCCGCCCGCAAAGCCAAGCAAGTTCGCTGAAGGTACCATTGCGATATAGTTGAGGGCAAATACCCAAACATGAAGATCCGGTCGAGCGAAGTGAAGTGCAATCGCAGCTGGGACGAAAGGCCAGAGGACGTTCACCAGCATGGAAAGAGTGCAGGTACTGCGAAAACAAACGCGCAGGAAGTGCAGTGGATGGACGCCAGTTCTCCCACTTTCTCCAGCGGTATCGATTCGAAACAGACTATGGTGTCGTCGGTGTCCTTTCTCATTGTGAGTCGGTAGTATTGTACCGCTCTGCGACTTCGAAGCCGATCGCGTAGCATCCGGTGTCAAAATTCCATCATGTTGTGAAGGATCTCCTTTCTGAGAAGATCGTGACCTCCGTCTGCCACCATCCACGTTGGAGGCCATTGTCTGGGGGAATGTGAAGTTGGTTGACTCGATGATCGGCCAGAATCAAGCTCTTACTGATCGGACACTGGCTTCTATAAGGTATGTTTGGAGAGCAAGGTAGACAAATCCCTCAATGAAACCAATAGTGAGATAAAGCAAAGCTGGGTTATCCCGGCATACATGCTCTAGTAAGCTCAGGCACACATGGGCATAGTCAGAGGGTGACTTGAGGCCCAAAGCCAAGGATAGATGAAAGAGAACGGGAGTAGAGGACAAGCAAGATAGTGTGCATGGACACCGGAGATTATGTACGGGGGATAATAACTGTGGATCTATAGCATTAGAAGAAAGAGAGAAAAAAAATTAATATGAATAACAGGAGTTTCAGCTGAATATGCTTGGCTTTGCAGATGTGGCAGACGAGTGTCATTGTGTACTATTCCTTTAGTAGAAAGTGAAAGACACGAGGGGAATTTCTGGGGCTGGGACTGTCTGCATGAAGGAAAAGTTAATATGTAGACCAGACCACCTTCAGCGAACATCATTCATATTTTATTTCCCGCTAATCATGGATCGCGATTATTCTGGAGATCTTGATCCATGCAAGCAGTGCAACCAAGATTTTACACAGTATAGCATATGGACAGTATTGTATGCCAGCTTTTGCGGACTGCCATCCTTCGGACTTCTACAGAAACACTGGACGGTATTTCGCTGCACATCACCAGAGTGCATCTGCGAAGACAGACACTCAGGAGAATTGGGTCCCTTCAGCTGAGGCGATCACCGAGTTCCTTAGTTTACCTTTGGGTTGTCCAAGTTCGAAACATTGTGCCCACGCTGTGGTCTTGGCGAGCCTATGAGCATCGGAGTGTGGCCTCTGGATGGAGCCGTGGCGCTTCGGCAGGTGAGCTGTTAAAGGCTCACCCAGGGAAAAAAAAAAAAAATAAGCTGTCAACAGACCCGTCAGCTGCTGGGTGATTATCATCCCGCTGTAAGCTCCAGAGCATTATTTGCTCCTACTCTGCCGGATATGGCCGGTGTCTCCCGTGTTAGTTATACATAGTATATAGTATGTATTAGGAGAGATCTGCTGTATCCTCTGAGAACGCGGTTGTCTCAAGCATGCTGGCTTAGTGACCTTGGGCTCTGTATCGTAAGGAGTCGTTACTCCAAAGAGGGGCCGGTTCACGCATTGTCGATACCGGATACACAGCCACGATTGACTCGCGTCGAATCCTGCAGCCCGCCTCCTCCAGGGTGGGGACTCACCGAAGGTTGAGAGCAAGCGGTAAACATGGCCTAGCTTGGCGGGCTCCCGCAAACTTCCCGGCAGTTGGCTGGCTTTGACCAATGTCTCGAGTCTCGACACAGCTTATATCCTCCTTTCGAAATCTACAATCGTGCATTCATTAAGCACACAACGATATAGATAGTAGTAAACACTAAACCCTATCTTACTTACAACTATATAATCGATGTGGATGCAAGTATCAATGGGATGGAGGATGCAGTGAAAGGACTCATCGCGATTTGAAAAAGCAAATATATTGTGAGTACTGTAGTAGTACTCGGTGTAAGTAGAGTAGAAGAGTGGAACCTAGAACAGACCCCAGCATTGAACCGGAATTGCAACAAAAAGGCAAATTAAACAATAAAATAGGACTCCGCCGTCCTGGATCAGGGGCCCAGACAGGACCCGCGGCCCTTAACCCAAGTATCCTAAGTGATGACACAGTCACTCCGAGTGTCCCTCTTTCCTGCTCTCTTACGTACTTACTCTCTATTTCGATCACTGACAGCAAAATAAGAGTATAGGCTAATGCAATGCCTATCTTCCACATGGAATTACTGAGGTATTGAGAGAACTTCCCCGCAGATAGAAGACGTCATTTTTATTCGTCAGTACCTTCTTCGGGACTGGAAGGTGATGCTACTAGTGCTGGTTGCAAGGAAAGGATGTCACAATGTCTTTTTAGTATTCCATCACCGATGTTGTATTCAAGGCTTACCCATACACATCTCTATCTACTAAAATTAGTTGACAGGGGTCAATCCTGCTGATCTGATCTACGTAGATACTCTATATCCAAAGTACGTAAGTAGGGAATTGCCGTCATGTGGTGCCTGTTGGAGTACCTTATTTTCTTTCGGGATCTGCTTAACTACTAGTCTAGTATGTGATTATGGTTCTAGGTAGATAGTATTCTGTACATGGTACCTACATGAGGGGTGTGTTTTCTGATTGGTGGTGCGTGTAAATACCCACCTTGCCTCCACCAAGTTGTGGAAGAAATGGAAGAAGCTAAATTCCATGAGATGAGGGAGATCGCCCGTTATCACAATCCTTCTGTGTCAAGTGAACAATTGCCATCCTCCAAGCCTCTAATGACGACAACTCCTAACTATGACATTATCTCATGTAGCCCAACTAGTTACTACTAACTTTACATGTCAGACCATGCAGCGATCACGTGGTGCTTATGCAGGAATTTCGTGAACTCGAGCGATATGGCGAATGCGGTTGGGTGGCACTGGCACATCGTAAACGGCTACCGTCGGGAGGGGTATACCACCAATCTGTTACGAGATTTTTTGCCTTGCCAAATTTTTTTTCTTTTTTCTTGTCTCATTTCCTCACCTCTGATACCCCTAATATACTCGCACACGGCCCTCAATTGCTCTTCATAACTTCTCTTCCTCACGGTTAACCCAGTTTACGAAATTCAGCTCTCTCCGATACCTACCATGTCCACGAAAACCACCCCGGCCGGTCCTCCGGTGGCCCTTGATACGATTACCCAAAATATCGGCAATACTCCCTTGGTTAAGCTAAACAGGATTCCGCGCAGCTTGGGAATCGAAGCCACCGTCTACGCCAAATGTGAATATTTCAATGCTGGCGGGAGCGTGAAGGATCGCATCGCTTTGCGCATGATTGAAGAAGCGGAACGATCTGGGCGCATAAAGCCTGGCGATACTTTGATCGAACCTACTAGCGGTAACACGTAGGTCCCCGTTTCCGCAAATCACGCAGATGCTCTCAAAGGAAATGTTCTAATTTGTATGATTTCCTACCACTAGTGGTATCGGTCTAGCTCTTGTTGCGGCCGTCAAGGGTTAGTTGATCCAGGATCTCTAAGTTGCGATCTTTTCGGCTAATAATCTTCCCGGAGTATGCAGGCTACAAGACTATCATAACTCTGCCTGAAAAAATGTCCGCCGAGAAAGTGTCCGTATTGCGTGCCTTGAATGCTACTATCATCCGTACTCCCAACGAAGCGGCTTTCGACTCCCCGGAATCTCACATTGGCGTCGCAAAGCGCTTGGAGAAAGAGCTTCCCAATGCGCACATTCTGGACCAGTATGGGAACGTGAACAATCCCCTTGCCCACGAGTTTGGGACCGCAGAGGAAATCTGGACTCAGACAGAAGGTCGGATTAGTGCGGTTGTCGCCGGTGCTGGCACTGGTGGAACGATTACTGGTATCTCTCGCGGCCTCAAGAAGCACAACCCCGATATCCAGGTCATTGCAGCAGACCCCCATGGATCTATCTTGGCACTTCCTGCTGCGCTGAACGAGGAGCATGTGAACGAGCCTTACAAGGTCGAGGGTATCGGATATGATTTCATCCCCGACGTCTTGGATCGCCAGGCAGTTGACAAGTGGTACAAGACCGCCGACAAAGAGTCGTTCCAATACTCTCGGCGGCTAATCGCCGAGGAAGGTCTTCTTGTTGGTGGAAGCAGTGGAAGTGCCATCTCCGCTTTGGCGCAAGCCGCGAAGGATAACAGATTCAAGAAGGATGACGTGGTTGTCGTCGTCCTGCCCGACAGCATCAGAAGTTATCTTACCAAAGTAAGTCTTCATGTGCTCTTAGGCTGTTTTTTGACGAGTCCTCTAACCTAGTACAGTTTGCCGATGACGACTGGCTCGCTGCGAATGGTCTTCTGTCATCGACCCCTGAGCCCACATCCTTCCCGGCGTTACAGCCACAGGCGAAGAGCGATGCCTTCGCCGGCTCACAGGTCAAGGCCCTGAGATTGAAGCCCATCACAACCGTCCGATCCAACATCCCCTGTGAAATTGCCATTGAAATGATGCGCGACAGAGGTTTCGACCAACTTCCCGTTCTTGCTCCTTCTGGCAAGAAGCTTGTCGGACTGCTTACCCTTGGAAATGTTCTCAGCCGGCTGACCCATGGACGTGCTACCGGGAAGAGCCCGGTTGCTGATGTTATGTTCGATTTCAGCAAGATCCCGGAAATTGTCACCGATCCTAGAGATATGGGGCTTGCCAGCTCGCAGGCCGGCCAGAACGGTAGTGCTAACGCGAAGCCCCATATCAGAGATCGGAAATTTGTGGAGATCACCATGGATACGCCTTTGAGCGTTCTCAACCGATTCCTTGAATGGAACAGCGCAGCTGTGGTTACTGAGCGAGATGACCAAGGTGCCATGAAGCCGGTTGCGGTGGCGACCAAGGTCGATCTCCTCACCTGGATGCTTCACAACGACAACAATGGCACCTCGGGTAACTAAGATTATAATATTCTAGCGACTGCAACTTGGCTTTTCAACCGGTATGCTATAATCTGGAGAGTATCAACTATATCTTCAATTTTCTTTTCTTTTTCTTGGCGGATGCCCTCCGGCACACAGTTCTCAAGTCATATAGTCATATAACGAAGGCTGTGTCATGGGCGGTATGGAGTTAATTGGAACAACGCTAGATAGTTCAGGTCAAACGAGCAATCAAACACTACCATTAAGTTGGCGCATCTTGACATGTGTGTAGGACTGACGTATATGACAGAGGCCCAGAATGACGTCTCCGGTCCACTGTTCTGTAACTCAAATCACCGGTTTCGATATTAATTAACAATGAATCCGAATTGTACCCCCAAAGGATGGCCAGCAATAGAGATCCCTCTTAAACTATACATCGTCTCTTCCTTTGGATACTATTAGACATTTATAATGACAGGAATATTCACCTATAGAGAATTTTCCTTACGGGATACACCACCGTTGGATGGGAAGGTGGCTTTGGTAACAGTATGTCTACTATTCGTTTACCGAATCATGTATAAAAGACTCGCAGTATAACCGAGAAATCAAAATATCACAATCCTGCAGGAGACTATCGCTAACATGACAATTAAAAGGGTGGTCACGGAGGCATAGGAAGAGGTAACTAACTCTACTCTATCTACCCTACTAGTTATCGCTGCAATGTCGTCTCTCCTTCCGCGGCCGAGTCTTGAATCAGCTTTTCTAATTGAAAATGATGTTATTTTAGAGATCACCGCCCAGCTTCTTATTCATAATATAGACAGAGCTTTGGTCCTCGGTCGAAACAGTGACAAATTCCTAGCAGCCAAAGAAGAATGGCAACGTCGTCATATCAACCTAGGCAAGGACGACAAAAGAGTCACTTTCGTCCAATGTGATTTGGGTGATATCTTCGCCGTGAAGGAAGCAGCTGATCAGGTCAGAAGTATAACAAAACGACTAGATATCATTTTTTGCAATGGCGGTACGACACCTTCTTCTATACCACCACTACTTCCCCTCCTTTTCACTATTATACTACGTATTACGAACTAGCGGCAATAGTCGATTGATTCAGAACAAGTTCTATAGGCCTTGGTGTCACAACCAATTACGAACGATCACCCCAGGGAGTGGAAATGGTCTTTGCGGCAAACTGCGTTGGCCACCAGGAATTGGTCACCCTGCTCCTACCACTTCTGAAACGCACAGCAAACCAGCATAGCGAATCCAGAGAAGCCCGGATTGTTGTCACTAGTTCCTCGCTGCACTCGGTATGCCGTACCTTGGACTTTAACCAGCTTACCACAACTACACGTGTGATGCCTATGCATCCGTATATTGATGGCTTCTGGCGTTATTGTCGTTCCAAGTTGGGAAACATTCTCTTTACGAGAGAACTCGCCCGTCGAATTGAGCAAGAAGGTCCCAACGCTAACAATATCTACGTGAATGTTTTCTTCCCTGGGAACATTGTCACAGAGCAATGGAAAGCCTGGGACGAGTATGTAGGGACTACCCTCGGTGCAGTTTTCCGTTATGTCTTTTCAATCATTGGGCAAAGTACACAAGACGGCGCCGCCACCGCCGTCTATCTGGCTACAAGTGATCGGATTCGTGTTGATGGGATTCGCGGCCAATACTACATTCCTATTGCCAAGCCAGACGCAACGACTGACATTGGTAATGACCCGGTTCTCGCCCGCAACCTTTGGGTACGTATTCTTACGTTCTGCCCTCTGTGACCCTGCCTCTTCTCCTCGCGTTTCTGATTGCGTACAGGATTGGATAGATACCAAGGTGACAGAGCATCTGGGCCTTCATTGGCAACAAGAGACCTGATAGCAGATGCTCCGAGATGTATCCGTCAGAATTACTACGGTCATCGAACCTTTTTGGCTGAACTCCCGGTATATCGTGATAGTTAGGATTCCACTTTCTGCTCATGATAATCGTTCCGGCGCATAGGGCTTATATGGACTGTCTGGATTGTATGTAGGAGTTATGCAATTTTTCAAGATATTTCTCGTATCGTTTCATCCCATCTCTAGGGCCAGTAGCACTGTCACTAGCCCAAGTGATATACGAACATCCAGTTCAGAGGCGTTGGCCAATCCATTCCTCCCACTTTCTGACGCCGGCCCCGAGGTTGCCCTCCTCATCACTCTTGACTGCGCCACCGACAATGTCAACAGTCAAGCCAATTTCATCTTCTAGGCCTCGGAAGCTGAACTTGATCCGAGTGTCAGTACTTCCCAGGATATCGTCTTCGCCCTCATCAACTCCAGCGTCAGCGCTAGCATCCATGAGACCTTTGCTCTTGGACTTCCGGATTCTGTCAATCTCAGCCTCCAGCTTTTCACGCACTGACCCTGGAGGTAAGGCAGTGAAAAGGTCTTGCTTGTTGGCCACCACGAGAACGGGGATCTCCGAGGCTGCTTTGGCGGAATTCTTGCCCTTCTTAAGGGCTCGGTTCTGGAGGGCTAAAAGCACATCATACAAATATGAAGCTGTATCTCGCATAGTCTCAGCCTCGACAAGAGCAGCCGTATCGACCATAAAGAGGACTCCGCGCAACTTGGACTTTACATCCTTAGACGTTGACATTGACAGCAATGTCGCAAGTCCCTGAGATCCCCGCAGTTTCCCATGGCCCGGAGTATCCCATACGCGGTACTTGACAGGGTTCTTGGAGATATCCTTCAGGGAGGTGTCATTGACAGAGCGGTAGCGGTTCGAAGCGGTCTGGATGGAGGCGGGAAGGCTGATGGTAGCGACAGTAGACGTTTGCGAGGTATGTGTGAGCCGAGAGTCTTTGGGAGGAACACGTGATGATTTAGTCTCAAGCTATTGTAGACGAAAGAAGACCGTTAGCACAAGCTACATACAACTTGGGCAGGAGGGGTGGAGAGGGGAATGCACAAAGCAAGGCCAAGTTAAGATTAAACATACCAGGCTCAAGAGAGCGGTCTTGCCAGCCCCACTGGGACCAAGGAGTAAGAAATTGCTGGAGGGTGGAGAAGCAACTGTTCGGTAGAAGATCAGGTGCAGCAGAATAGGTAGCCCAAATGCGATGAAGACTGTGACTGCAATTGCAATGGGACTGCCGTCAAGCAGACTGGTAGCTATTCCCTCAAGGGTCTTCCAGTTCGCATGAGATTGCATCTTTCACAGATGCTCACGTGAAGCACGGGGGACTGATGCAAAGGGGTTCTTCACTTATCCGGTGAGTAGTGAAAAGGGATTGATTGTGTAGGGCATGAACAGGTCGAGCTCCGCAGTATGTATTCAAGAAGCTACCAATCCGCAAGCGCAGAACTTCTTGTCCCTCGTCTTCCCCAAGTCTGGTTAGGGCAACAATTCTGACGCAGCCAATTAGTAAACCAAAGCCTAGGAGCTGTGATCCTGTCCAGAAATTGGCTGACGTCCAAGTTGTTGCTTGTTGGTTGCTGGAAATTGCAGCGGTGACAACGAAACCAGCAAGCGGGTGGGCCAGACGGATCATGCCACCTTCGGAGCGGGATTCTGGCCGAAGCTGGTGCTGGCCTTGATTCCTTAACGCCTTGATGCCTGGTTCATGGCCCGTGCGTTATAGTTCCCGATTAGGACATACAGGTATATACTTCGGTAGCACAGCAGGCTTCCCAGCATGCCGTTGATTGCAGGGGGTGACGGGAGGGTGTCAACAGACATCTCTGGCCATCTTCCCTCTTTTGATTTACTTGTCCACGCTCGATTTTTCTGGCATCTGTGTTCCTTTTTCCTCCCCTCTTTCTTGCTCTTCCCATGATGAGACTCGCGCGCACAGTGGTATACTTTGCGCTATCGTTTCTCCCAACTGCTTTCGCAGATATCGAGTTCATCGAACCAGCAGCCGGTGCGGTCATCAGAGCTGGGGATGTGGTTACTGCTCACTGGAGGGACTCTGGCGCATTACCTCGACTTGCTTCCCTCGTACAGTATGACCTCTATCTTTGTGCAGGCGGAGACACAGAAGGATCCAATGTGCGTGCTCTGTCAATGTTCTCGCCCCTGATTCAAACCCTACTAATACCCAGATCTTCGATACAGGAGGATGTAGCTCTCCTCGTCAAAGACGCGCTCTTTACCAGGGGCAATTCAGTTTCATTCAAGATTGATCCTGAGGTTGGCGGCAATGATGCGAACGCATAGTAAGCCCTCCTCCAATGCTCCCATGAAACACGACAGAGGGTTTCGATCTTACCTGTCAAATCCTTTCACTGCTGACGATTGCATCTCGTGCAGCTTTTTTAGGATTGCCGCTTCTGGTCCTGAAACCTCTGTTGTCAACTACTCGGATCGCTTCACCCTCACGAACATGACCGGCTCATTCTCACCGACTGTCCTAAATGGAATTCATTCGGCCATCTACTCTACAGACTCCTTCCCTTCGAGCCTTGAGGATGACAATCACGAAGAACTACGAAAGAGACAGGTGGCTGGGCCCTTCACGATTCCCTATCAGTTGCAGACTGGACCTACAAGATACGCACCCATGGCTAAGAAGCCTGGAAGTACAATTCCGGCGGGAACACCAACACCCCAATATCCAACGAGCGCGTATTCTGTTGCTACAACTTATCTACCTCAGGCTACCGTTCAGATGACACTGTCCGCCTCAGAAACATACTCCGTCGTTAGCATTGAAAATACAGTAAGTATAACGTAGCCGGGTCTTGTCAATAGCGATTCTGTTTTTTCTCTTCTCAAGGTTTTGCGAAACTGGGCTAATGGCACTCATCTCCACAGGCTTCTCCTGCACCACATGCTGGAGATACTAAAATGAAGCGGTTTTTGGAAAGATGGAAAGATTGAGGCGTATGGCGGTTCTGGCTTGTAAGGTCTGGACTGTCAATACTTGTTGCTCGATCACTCCATGGCTTCCTTTGTACTTAGTACGCTCCCTGTCCTATGCCTCAATATTCCTACATATTGATGGCTTGTATGTGGCATTTCCGGACTGGCAGACTGGAGCTTGGGAATACGAGTTATACCTAACTCCAGGCATTTCCCAGCTATGTATGTTTACACCAAAGTGGTTACTATATTGGTCAACGCTGGCCTCTTGGTGTTTATCGGAAACACCAAGCCTACTACATATATGTTTAAATTCTTGGAAAATAAGCAAAGCTCTAGTCCCTTCCATTGTTTAGCCTATACTTTTGTTATATGCAATTCTAATTATATGATTGTCTGTTACTCATCGATCGTTCCTTCTCCTTCTCAAGATAGCAAAATGTTAGAAGCATTTGCGTTTCAGTGACGTGGACTATCGTTATTTTGTGTGAAAGAGATGTTTTCTCGAAGAGCCACATATTCACTATCTGCATAACCAAGTAGTGACTGAATATGTGTGCTTCTCTGGCCCTTGATGCGGATGATTTCACTGCTGCCGTAATTGACTAGGGCACGCCCAACCTCCTTCGGCTCCTGGCCATGATGAAGGAACTCCCCATTCAAAGCGTCTGGAGATATCTTCTCTACCACAACCAGGCGCACTGCTTCCTGTTGGCCAAAATGTCCATCCACCCCTATAACACCTGCCGGAAGCAAGCCAGCCTTTTTCTGGAGAGCACTATAAGCGCCATGATCAATATATAGTGTACCTCGAGGTTTCAGGCCATGAAGAAGCCAGAAAGACCGAGACTGAATCGGGGTTTCCGAGGGAATGAATCGAGTGTGTAGTGGGGGCGGAGTGGGCAAGTCTGGCGAGCCTGAAGACTCTTCGGACCCCAGGTCAAGTTGCTCCGTTTGCTGAAGGTATCTGACAATTTCATGAACATTACCCGGTTTGGAGCTTTTGGTGATGATTGTGGTCACGCCCGCACTGGTTCCCAACTTGGCAGCGACGATCTTGGTACTCATGCCTCCTGTCCCTAAAGAGGATCCGGCAGACGAAACATCAGCCTCCAAAGATGAAATATCCGTGACGACCTCGATAGGCTTCGCATCCGGATTGTGGCGTGGGTTAGCCGTGTATAGACAGTCGACATCCGTCATTAAGAAGAGGTAGTCGGCTTTGACCATAGCTGCTGTTATCGCCGACAGTGTGTCGTTGTCACCGAATTTGATTTCCTAGTTAGAGTAAGCGTTTGCTTTGCTTTTTCGCTTCATAGAACAAGTAGCCGAAGCATACCGAGACTGCGAGAGTGTCGTTCTCATTGACTATGGGGATCACACCCATGTCAAATAACTGTGCGAAGGTATTTTGAGCGTTGAGATATTGTGTCCTCTGTACCGGTGTCAGATGTGAAACGTAACTCCAGGAACCAGCATGAACACTTACATCCGCAATGTCGTTCCTGGTCAACAAGATCTGTGCGACGGGGAGACGGAGATGCGAGAAAAGACCGTCCCAAAGACTCATCAGTCTGCATTGCCCAACCGCTGCCAAAGCCTAATGTTCATAAATCAGCACCTGGATATCTGGCGATCCGTAGCATTGTGTGTCTTATTACCTGTATACGGGGCAAGTGCTTGGGCCTCTCCTCGATATCCATTCTCCGTAGACCGACGCCGACAGCTCCGGATGAAACGAGCACGACATTATGTCCGTCGCGATGAAGTTTGGCGGCAGTTTCCACAATCAAGGTCAATATCGACAGTATAGGCTCATGGGTGTTCTCATCCACGATGGAACTCGTCCCTGTTTGTAACCAAAATGGGTGTTAGCGAATCTGTAACAGTAAATGCCCGGGCTTGTAATTGGATACCCCGCACCTAGCTTGATGACGATCGTGAGAGGTTTGGAAGCCATTGTGAAGTGAAGTTGGAGTTGTTTAATCAGAAATGTTGTTCACACAATCACCCATCTGATGGCGACACTGGCAATCGGCGGTATCCGACCTCCCTCCCAGACGCAACGATGTCAGACAGGCTGCGCTAGTCTTTGTAGCTCGATCGGGCATCCCATTTGCCGTGTGTGATTTTCCGGGGAATATCTATTTTTTGCCAGGCACATCTTTCACCGCCAATGCGGAGAGCTGATGGCGGAATCGGCCTGGACGATCTTTCCGCAGCGCTTCTTCCGTATCCATTTCACTGCGCTGGCTTCTCGTCCTTGTATGTTTAGGCGAAATGTCGGCTTCAGAGTCTCCCAATACCGGTTCGAAACCCGGCAATCAGGATACGGGCTACATACCGGGCGACGATACCTGGACGCAATGGCGCAATATCTTCTCCATCCTAGCAGGGCGAATGACAGATGAAGGGAAAGAACAATTCCGTGTTGCTCGGGATATCCGGAATGAGGCCGCCGATTGTAAACGTTGCGAGGATCAGCGCGATTATCTCTTACAGTTCAGTAAGTTATTTCCCTTTGCCTCTTCGCGGATTCCCAGGGCTTGGGTACTTAGTCAGGGTTACAGCTAATTCAAGGAATCACAAGGTCCCATAATTCGATTCATGAGTGACAGCATTCGACAGCTTGGGGGAGACCTTCATAGCCATAATATTTATTGTCGCCGATGTACCAATCGAAAAGCTGGAGGCTTCGACCCCGATTATGGTATTTTAATTTGCGCAAACGAGATGAAGGACCAGGGACATCTGGAGGATACAATGGCTCATGAAATGGTCCATGCCTACGACCACCTCAGATTCAAAGTTGACTGGATGAACAATCTGCGGCACGCAGCTTGTACCGAGGTATTTAATCTCCCAAGATCATAATCACCTGAAATTGGCAGCCATTGGCTGACGAAAAAGACCAGATTCGAGCAAGCTCCCTCAGCGGTGAATGTCGGTGGGCGCGCGAGTTCTTCCGGAGGGGCCAGTGGAAGTTCACACAGCAGCATCAAGAGTGTGTTAGAAGAAGAGCGATCCTGTCTGTACGAGCAAGGCCAACATGCAAGGATGAAGCCCATGCAGAGAAGGTTGTAAATGAAGTATGGGACAGCTGTTTTAGAGACACCCGACCCTTCGACGAGATCTACCGATGATACTACTATTGTTCGAGCGCTGCAGTTCTGCGATAAACGCCACTCATGTGTATATAGTATTTGATACGCCACCTGCAAAGATATATCATTAAATAATAGAGCCAAAGGACCGGACGCCGCAAAAAGCAGATAATCATAGAACTCCAGCATGCTCAACGCACTCCGCACGAAACCCAATCACAAGAAGTGGCAGAGAAGACCACACGTCTCAACGCCAAAGCGCCATGAATGCATAAGTATTACGTTATTATTTGGTATCCTTTGTCGAAGCAGAACCAGAACTGCGCTTCACGGTTCGCTCATCCTTAACACAGTGTTTAAGGATCCAAGGATGCCGCTGGATTTCATCAAGAGAGATTCGCTTCTCAGGATCCAGAACAAGGAGCTAGAAGACATTAGCAATTACTCCATAAGGGGCGGCTGGGCTCACATACGCGTTTGATAAGATCCCTTGCCTCAGGGCTCACGAATGATGGAACCGACATATCCGCTCTTGCAATCCGCCTCTGTGTCATAACAGGGGTATCCTCAAAGGGAGCTTCTCCAACAAGAAATTCGTAGGTCAAGACACCCAAGCTCCACAAATCGACTTTCTCATTGTAGTAATTGTCCTGTGAGCCCGGCTTGAGCATCTCGGGAGGCAGGTAATCCAACGTTCCACACATTGTTTGCCTCCGGTTGTTGGGTGCATGTACACTCCATCCAAAGTCACTTATTTTGATTTCCCCGTGGATGCCGACTAGGATATTTTCGGGTTTAATATCACGATGCATGACATGCTTCTTGTGGAGGTATTTCAAAGCAGCAGCCATTTGGGCGATGTACTGAGCAGCTTTCCATTCAGGAAATCGATGTTCCTTGCGAAGGTGTTTATATAACTCTCCCCGACCGGCAAATTCAAGAATCAGAAAGATCCGCTTGCTGTCATGGAAGTGCCCATAAAGCCTTAGAACATTCGGATGACGAAGATTGCTCTGAATCTCGATTTCCCGGCGGACTTGCTTCTGCACTCCACCCTGCTGCAACTCAGATTTGTGCAAGACTTTGAGTGCACATACAAAACCAGAGGACCGCTCTTTGGCCAGGTACACCCTACCAAACTTTCCTTTTCCTAGAGGTTTTCCGATCTCAAACATTCCAAGGTGCAGTTTCTTGGGTGCCGGTTGCTCATATAGCGGGTTTGGGTGGCGTTGTTCTCCATTCTCATCTAGGTTGCGACTCGGTAAAGTATTCTGGGAGCCCTTTGTAGGGGATTGAGCAACGTTCATGGCATTGACTTTGTTGTCATTGGTATTTTGAAGAGCCAGCTTCAGCAGGTTGGATCGATTGGAGCCGCTATATTGCCCTGCAGCTCCAAGGCCCGAAAGAGACATGGCTGTTGATAGGGAGCTCTGATGTACGGCATTAACAGGCCATGTACTATACAAGGCGTACTCCAGGACTCATACCTTAGGTTTCGGGTAGCCGCCGCCATTGTGTCCGCTGTCATTTTCGTCTTTGACGGAAAGGCGCTCGAGGCGCGCTTCCAATGTCTTGGAGGCCATGGAGAAAAATGTAATTGACAGTGATGGGCGACGGGAAAAGAGCTAAACGAGGTTTGCAGGCAATTATCAGGACTATCGTGCCTTACAAAGTCATAGTCAGGCCCCAGAGAGTCTATAGAGGAGAAAGCAGTCTAGATGACGAGCTGGAAGAGGATAATGGAGAACGAGTGAGTAGATAAATAAGGTTGGGGAGAACTGGCAGCTCTCTAGCGACGCTCGGATGTTTATCCGGTTTGGTTTCCAGACACATCACCCCAGCAACAGTTCGGACCGCCTCTTTCTCCGACACCGCGGGGTATGATCTATCGGCCGGCCATGGGGAACGCCGACGATGCATACCTGTGAAGCAAAAGGACCCATTCTCTCTTTTCTGACTCCTTTCATATCCTCATATTCTCTCTCCTGCCTGTGTATATGCCATCACTGTCGCTTCCCACCCACTCATTATAATATAGCATGACTTCACGTAGCAACGCGGCGTCAGCGAATATGGCGAGTACCGCAACTTCGCCCAGCTTTCAGAAGCCCAATTCCGTGACGGTTAAAGGATTCAAGATCATCACTCAGAAACTGCCAATACTCAAGGCGGATCCAATTGAGGAAATGACGAAAGAACTAGGAATAACACCACCAGAAATGATTTTCGGTGACAACTTTGTTGCGATTGAACATGAACAAAGCCCGTGGGGCATAGCTTTCAACGCCTTCGATGCCTT